AGGGTGTGTGGTCTTAGGGAAAGCCTTGTGGGAGGGATTTCATGGTGTGAAGCGTGGATGGCTGCAGCTAAGCCTGGGAAAGACTAGGGTGCAGCCTCCCATGCAGAAGAGGCAGCTACTGTCTGAGCCCCCAAAACAGGAGCTAGCTGGAAGGGTTTAAAGGCACCCTGAGGAGGCTAGTCTGCCTAAAAGGGAGCTGAGGTGTCCACCAATGAGGTGGAGGCCAAATTTAATTCTGAGAACTGGCTTGTCATAGGAATTTAAGCAGGGGAGTAGTATGATGTGATCTGTGTCTTAGCCCACATTGGCTCCTGAACAGTAGGAGGGCAAGAGGGAAAGCAGTGTGGTCAGTTTAACATATGAAGACCCTGAAGTTGTTAGTATTTGTGCAGCGTCTGTCTGGAATTATAAACTGTCCCAATTATAATTAAGACAAACTTCTGTGAGTGGAATTACTGGGCATCAAGAATGTACTTATTTAAAATTCTAATCCTTGTTGCTCAGCCCTTTGTAAAAAGATGGTTACCAGTTTTCACTCCCACCCACACTGTGTAAGATTTTCTCATCCTTGACAATCTGGAAGATGGAAAGGTATCTGTTAACTGCTCAAGTGTGGAACAGAGGAGACATGGTTTGATAGCAGTTTGAATGAAGGAATTTCATAGGAGCTGAGGGTAAAAAGACATCATTGCTAAACCTGCTCGGTAGAACCAACTGAATTTGCTTTTATGTCACTTCTGGAGGTCAGTATCCTAGCCATATGCTCTGAGCTCTCAGACCACATCCAGATTAGTGTTTGCTGGATCCAATACGGTCTAGGTATTGGTGAAGGATATCTGCACATTGGAGAGTATTCTGAGTTTAGTTAGTGACTAACAAGATTAATCAGACTTGCAGGCAGTGATTGGGTGGGGGAGAGTGGAGCTGGAGTGGTTTAATTTTGCTAAAAGCTTGGGAGAGATACAATAGTCCTCTTGGATTGTTGGAAGAGCTGCCACTGTGTTGCCCTTGAGGACAGACAGACACTTACAGCACAGATGAAATTTCTGACTTCATGTGGGGAAGACAGGTTTTACAATGAGAACAACTGATGGGAATGGAGAAGTCCTTGTTGTTGGAAGTGTTCAAGCAGAACTAAAGGATGCTGTCTCTCTTCTGCTGTGGATGGGGACTTTTTGTGCCAAGTAGACCGAGTAAGATCTCATCTCCCTTTCAGCTCAGGGCTCATTGTCATTCTGTAACTTGAGGTACATGGACAACAGACAGATTAGCCCTTAAAATAAAACTCGAGAGAACTGTAGACCCTAGCCTTCCAAAGGTAGGAAATAGAATTGTCCCTTCCCTACCACCATTCCTCTGTCGTGGAGACAGACTGCTACCCATTACTAGGTCATCATGATGGCTCACCCCACTTCTGTGAGCCTTTGGGAAGAAATGAACAACTGAAGTTCCTACCCCTGCTGTTGGAGGATAGGAAGCAGAGCAGGGGTCGGGTTGGAGAAAATTGGTCATTGCAGCTCACATCCGACAGCACATCTGGCCATACCTTTCTGGCCATTAACTGAATTGAGTCAGCTCACTGCTACTGGTCATCATGGGGCTGGAAGGGCAGAGTGAGAACTCTCCACATTGTAGCTAGCAACCAGAGATTTCACTCTAAAATGGAACCATGCTTATGTTTTGAACTGAGGCTCTGTCAGGGAACTAGAGTGGGTTGCTTCAACTATCAGCCTCCATGAACCCTGTGTGTCCCGTGGGGCCCCTTCTTTGACCTGCCTTCCTCCTTCTTCCTTCAGCAGTCATGCAGTTCAAGGACAATCCCAGTCTTTCAGAGTAGGATAGAGGCTCTGCAGTCCTGAGCAAGACTGGCGGTAGGGCATATTCTATGCCTGACCTCAGGGCTCCTTACCCCTTTCTGTCTTCTGGGGAAATTTGGCCAGAGTTTGGTACCAGCTGTTTTCTACCTGGGGCCACAGGCAACCAAAGAGGAAGTTCCTGAAGTCGGGAGGTTACAGACCTAAGATTCCATTTGGTGATCTAGAATGGATTTAACTGACTGCCCTGGCCTTTGGAGGCCATGTGGGGTAAAAGGAAGGGCATGAATGTCAGAATCAGCATACCATAGTCCATTGTAGCTGGAAGACCATGGGCTTCTCTTCATCTTAACCACAAAATGGAAATAACCTGTATAAAGTTCCTGTGAGACCCTCACTAAGTGCTGTTCTAGCCCCTCCTCTTCCTATCTTGCGAAAACGGTTTCTTAATCCCAAGAACAAAATAATAAAGCCTCATTTGGACTTCTGTGTGTTTTTAATCATATGCTCAAGATTATGTAGCCTGAAATGTGACAGTGAAGTTTTACATTTGTCATTCTCTGATTTCTAATATTCTCATTATATTGGCTATAGGAAGGGGTGTCAGTTTTGTTAATTTAAAATTAATCCTGAATAAACTATTGAAAGTCTTGGTTGGATACCAGTTTACATACCTTAGAATTATCATGATACTAAGGAATGGTCTCTTCCAGTCACAATCACTTTGATACTTAGAACAAGGCTATGTGTATCTGTTAACTTTCTTGAGGCTTTAGGTGGCCAAGAACTAAATAAAGATTTCTTCCTCAATCTAGACAAGGGATTACATGGCTGTGGGCATGATTGTCTGTGATTCTTGTCCATTTTCTCCCACTAGCTCTTTCTGTTCCATCATACTGATTTCCCCCTAAGAGAATGGAGGTTTGGTTTGAGCCTCCCTTTCTAAGTGCCCTGTCCTCAAAGGCCAGGCCACATCTTCAGTAGTTCCAGTTGGTGAAAGGCTGTAGGGTGACACTGTTTTGGCAGGAGGATAACTGTAGAGTACATCTGTGAGGCAGAACAAGAGAGGTTCTGTGGCCTCTCTGTATAGATCTGCAGATCTACACATAATCTATAGCATTGCTCGTCCACACACTTCTAGAAGAGGACTCCCATTGCCACAGGGCAAGGTGGTATGTGGGAAATGCAGACCATCTCAAATCATTGGCCTGAGCAGCCTCAACATGTAGCTGCCCATGATTCAAGAGCTGCTTGGCCTTTTTATCCTCAGTTTGTCCTCTTGAAAGAAGGCATACAAAAAAGGTGAGCTGAGCTGCATTTCAGCAGTATGACAGGACCATGCATGAGAACTTTGCTATCTCTGTCTTTTCCCACTTTTAGGAACTTCTTGGGCTGGGGCATGACTCAAGTGGTAAAGTGCTTGCCTAGTAAGCATAAAGACCTGAGTTCAAACCCTAGAATGGAAAGAAAAGAAAGAAAAAAAAAAAAAAACCAAAGCAGCAACAATAGAAATGTTTTTAACTAAGTGCAGTGGTTCACGGCTTAAGATCTGCAGGACCACATTCCGAGGCCAACTAGGGCAAAAAGTCCGCAAGACCCATCTCAGCAAACAGAGTATGGTGGTACACATCTGTGGTCCTAGCTACCCAAGGAAGCATGTGTAGGAGGATCGCAATCTTGAGACTGACCTCTCATAAACACGAAACCCTATCTGAGAAATAACTAAAGCCAAAAAGGGCTGGGGGCATTGCTTAAGGAGTAGAGCACCTGCCTAGCCAGCATTAGTTCACACCTCACTAACTAACCCTCAACACACCCCCATCACCAAAAAAAAAAAAAAAAACTTCTTGGGGTCTGATAGTGTAGCTCAATGGTGGAGCACTTGGCAAGCATACAGCCCTGAGTTTGATCCCCAGCACTGGGGGAAGAAAACCTTGGGCTGAGGGTATAGGCCCTGGGTTCAATTCCCAGCACAGAAGTAAAGGAAGGGAGGGAGAGAAGGAGGAAGGAAAGAATTTTCAAGTAAATCATGCTATCAGATAGTTAATTGTAAAAAGCTTGCAGCTACATTTCTACATCTGGCACAGTTTAACCCCACTCTAATGGTGATGAAGATGATTGTTTTTGCCAAGTCCTCTCCCCTGCTAGGCACTTCCTAGGTAAATTTGGCATTTCTTCTTCTTCTTTTTTTTTTTTTTTAAATGTTGTAATTGTCTTATTTAGCATTGTACTTTTTTCAACTATTAGCACACATTAATAGTACAAAGGTGTTTCAGTGAAATCCTTTTAATGTTGCAAAACAACTGTCTGTAATGCCATCCCTTTCCTATAGATCATGGGACCTTCCCAGAATCTTTGTTTTAGAACTTGATAAAATAAGTCCACTTAAATAAGTCACCCATGAAACTCCCTTTTTAGAGTTTTATTTGTGACACTATTATATATGTGTCCCAGTACTGTTTATCAGAGTTGTAACATGTAACTTAATCATTGCACTATCCAGATGCTCTCATGATCTATAAGTCTACATAATAAATACCAGGAACAATGTGGAAAAGCATTCTGGACATCTGCCCTGGCAGCACAGCTCAGATTTGATCCCCAAAATGTTGCCAAAGGCAAAAGAGAAAGATACATACAACTGATAACTGGAAGGTGGCTTCTGGGGCCCATACAGAGTTCGAAGTTGGTGTATGAACAAGTGAAGGATGTAAGAATCTGGGAATTCTTTATTCTATAGAATTGGGTGTCCTAAACTAGTACTTTTTATTGGAATTTGTAGAACAGATCACCAGATTGTTTCTGTGTCATTAATGCCAGTCAAGTACATGAATGTCCTCTAATAAACAGTGAGGTATTGAACAATACCTCTGGATAGCACTCTCACAAGCACTTGAAGAGAGATTCAAGGCGATTATGAAGTTTAAAAGATAGATGCTACCATGTAAGTTACACTTTATCTCTCTTAAATAATGAAAATTCAGGAGCTGAGGTATAGCTCAGTGGTAGAACATTTGCCTAGCATGTATGAGGCAGTGGGTTCTATCCCCAGCACTACAAAAAAAATAATAAGAAAATAAAGTTCAAGTACCAATGCCTACATATAAAGTCTGAAAAACAATGACAAGAAGTAAATGAAGTAGGTTTTTGTTGTTAAATTGCATTGTGTATGTATATTCCTTTCAGACATATGAAGATTCATGAGAAGGACCCCAACAGTACTACAGCTGCAGCCCCTCCATCCCCTCTGAAGCGCCGGCGGCTGTCCTCCAAGAGGAAACTGAGTCATGATGCCGAGTCAGAAAGAGAAGATCCAGCACCAGCTAAAAAGGTCTTTAGGCTCCTGTGACAGACATGCCCCATCACAGGGCTTTTGACAGAAATACTTTTAATCTTCCTTTCACAGTGTGGGGACTTGGCAGTCATCTATCCTAGACTTTTTAACCTATGTTTTCCCACATTGTTTTTGTTAACTGTCTTAGAAAAGAGTACCTGTGTGTATTTCCTCTTTGGAGCCCCTTTCCTAAGCCTAGGGTGAAATGAAGAGCTTCCAAAATTGTTTCCATGCTTATTACATTGTCTCTCTAGCTATAATGGAAGCTTCATTTGTGTTAGGTACTCCTTTGCCCTCACTCTTTTATTCCTAGTGCTGGCAGATACTCAGTGCTCCATAAATGCTTGTTGGGTAGAGAAAGGGACTGAGGAGTGGGTGGGAGGGTGATGGATAGATGGTAGTGCTCAGTGAGTATTTGTTGTATGAATGAAGGAATGAATGGTCAGTCACACATTAATATTCGAGTGAGGAACACATCCCTTTTATAGAAGTCTCTGTATTGGTGTTGGCCTCTCTTCTGAAGCAAACCCACATGAAAAACCACTTTTGTGACTTTCCATTTTGCTTTTTCCCTAAGATGGTTGAAGATGGGCAGTCAGGTGACTTGGAGAGGACAACTGATGAAGTCTTTCACTGCCCAATATGTTTCAAGGAGTTTGTTTGCAAGTATGGAATGGAGACCCACATGGAGACCCATTCAGATAATCCACTAAGGTAGGAGAAAGGGTGAACTAGACCTGTGGTCTGGGAAACTCCTTTTTGTTCTTGTTTCTTCTGACATAGACATTCTTATTTCTTTTTACTACAAACTAGGCTTCAGTGATTGAACTTTTGTATGAGTACTTTAATAAGGCAGTTAAGACACACTTAAAGTATGGAGAAGGGTTGGACTGAGGATTGTGAGGGAGAAGGTGGCTGTAGCCAGAGTATGTTTTTTGCTCCCAGCAAGGCCTTTTGAGTAATCACCATAAGTCCCTAGGCATTGGGGAATCTCCCATCCCACGGTATATTTGGACAACAGACATATTTTCTTTGCAAAAGATGTTGTAACCCAAATGATTGTTAGCTGTCCATGGGTAAGTGGTTGGCTGGGGCCAGTCCTTATGTTGCATGTCTGCAGCACAGTGCTGATATATACTAGGTGCTCAGAAATGTTTAGATTGAACTAAGCCTATAGCAGAGAAAGCTAATAAAATATTGTCGATAAAAACGAGTTCTGTTAAGTATAAAGTAAAACTTGTTACAATTCCAGCTCGTTCTGGTCTGATTTCAGTTTTAGATGTCCCTCTGCCCTAGCATTTTTAATTCTCAGTTTTGCCAAGCAGAAAACGTGGATAGTGATACAACCTCCCAGCAGAAATCAGGAGGAGCTTGTGTCTTTCTCTTACTTTTTTTTTTTTTTTTTGCTTGCAAAGCAGGTGCTCTACTGCTCTGGTTATTTTGGAGATGGGAAAATCTCACAAACAATGTTCCAGGGATGGCCTCGAACCACAGTCCTCTTAGTCTCAGCTTCCCAAGTAGCCACCAGCACCTGGCTCTCTAACTTCTTGATTACTCTTTCATCAGGCAAAAGCCCTGTGTTCTTTATGAACAGATAGGTTTAGAAATTTTTCATGAGGAATTGTCACATTTTAAATGTTGCTGGTAGATTGGCTTGAGTGGTAGGGTGCCTGCTTAGCAAGCGTGAGGCCCTGAGTTCAAATCCCAGTACCACCAAAAAGTAAAATGTTTCTGCCATTGATTTTAAACATTGAAAAGAACAAAGAGTTACATGGGAGCCTCTGCTGCAGTTGAGAGACTGAAAAGCAGTCCATGCTAGAAGTCAAAACTGTAAATTCATTTAAGAGCAGAGGGTGTGGTCTACATGGTTACAACTTGGGGTTTTAGAAGACACCTTGGGAAATAGGAATGGAGCATCCGTTTGCCTGAATCTCTTATGTAGAGACAAGATTTCCTTGTGTTTAGTTGCAGTTTAGGAATGCAAAGGCTTGAACAAGCTGAGGACTTTGCATTATAAGGAAAGACCCATGGTAACTGGAAGCCAGGTCAAATATTATTATCTTTAATCACATTAGCTTGACAATTTTCTGTTGGAGGGGGAGAAAAAACTTTGGGGAGTTTAAACTGCAAGCAGTTGAAGTCCTGTCTTTATGGAACTCCTTGGTCTCAAGAAATTGGACGATGGACTGGAGCAGGCATGTGTGGTTATCAGGCCAGTCTCTGCTTGCATCTGACCCCAACCTGCATCTGAATCTGTTTCCTCATTATTCAAATTGGAGGGCTGGACCAGGTAATCTCTGTGTTTCCTGGTAATCCATGGGTTCCCTTCCAGGCCTTAAGGTCTGTAATTCTAAAACCTTTCTCTGGACTTGTTTTCCAAAAAAATCACCTCTGGCTTTTCCTGTTTTAGTCCCCTGGCTCTAAGAGATTAGGGAACTTGATGTCACAGTTTCATTAATGTCCACAGCATCCTTAGGATGTGGGCTTGTGGTGAGTGGAGAGCTCTACACTGAGGACAGGGATGAAGGCACCACACAAGCCTCACAAAGAGAGTCAGAGGCAGGAAACCGTATGTAAGAGCCCAATTCCTCACCATTCCTGACAGGCAACTATGAATTCACTGCTTTTCTCTGAGCTCCTCTATATATTTTATTTCACAAATTTTATTTTGTGATTAGACACTATCTTAGAAACTACCCACTTACCCCTTTGAGATAATTCCATTATACAGGAAAATAATCTGACTTTCATAGAGGTTTCTGGGCAACCTGACCCTGCACAGCACAGTGCAGTGATAGAGGAAGACCAAGTGACCCTGCTAGTTTGGATGAGGGTGTGAAACTCCCCACACTTCCTTCTGGACCAGAACCTGCTCCAAGGAGAGGTAGGGTGTTCTTAGAGCACATAGAGGTAGGAATTACACTGGACACTAGTCGTTAGACCATGTACCAGACAGACTTGATTTGATTGGTAATTCATGTGCCATGGCTCTAAGACTGGTAATACTGATTAGCCATGAGATTGAATCTCCAGCTGCCTGTTCAGCTAACAGAGTGGACAGTTTCCTTACCTACTCAATGGTAATGCCCTTTGTTTGGTGAGGGGTGGCTAAAATTTTGTAGCCCAACAGGAACTCAGTCCCGTTAGGCAGCTTTTCATCCCACTGGCGCCATAGCACAGGCTATAGGGTGGCTAGAAATAAAGAGGTGGACTAGTGTCCTTTGTGTGGGGTGACCAGCCCCAGCCTAGTTGGCTCTGCCTAGTAACTTTTGCTAGCTGGGGTGGGGCTGATGTCTGGAAACCAAAAGGAGTTGATTACAGAACATAGTTAATTCCCCTTTTCTCCTCTCTCTGCTGTTTCTACATAATAGCCTGCTATTGGAGGAGACCTTGGGAACAGGCAGGGGCCAGCAGGGGCCTACCTGGGTGGTGAACTGTGACAGTAGCTGGTGGGAGACACTGCTTGTTAACTTAGAACTAAAATAGATAACTCTATTTTCAAACCCCAAAGGTGGCAGAGCCACAGTGGGATGCTACCAGTTTAGATAGAAAGTCTATAACTCAAAACAGCTGTTGATTTCTCTTTCCTGCCTCAACCACCCCTCCTTCCCACTAACGCTGGCAAGGTGCCCACTATTCCTTAATAATGTTGGAAACACAAACTCCTGTAAACACTGAGTCCACTTTTCGCCACTCTACTGGTGTTTCAAATTATTAAAGTGGCATCATACAAAAGAAAGACACAAAGCCACTGGAAGAGATTCTAGCTCTTAAGAGTCAGGTACTTCCTATGAACTTTTCTGTGCAGCTCCCCAGATAAGCAGAAGAAGGCAGGGAAGGGAGCACCCTAGAGCTTACTGGGCACTGGCATTTGAAATTGGGTGTGAGGACTGGCATGTTCAGCAGGTGGATCAAAAGGGACGTCTCTTACGTGGGATGTTGTTGGGCACTGAATGTCTGTCTTCCTTCATCATTAGAATAGAGCAGAGCAACAGGCCATCCACTGATGGCAAAGAAGTCAGCTGGAGGAATGATGTCAGGTCAGTTCCTCCAGCAGAAGTAGAACGTGAGCCTTGTGGTGTCCTTTGAAATTTTCCAGTAAGCCATGTTTTAAAGTAAAAATTGGATTGAGGCTGTAGCTCAGTAGGAGAGCATATGCTTTGTATGTGTGAGGTCCTGAGTTCAGTCTCTGCACCAATTTAAAAAACAAAAAAATACTGGTGAAACTAATTATGCTTGTATTGATTATACCCTTACAGTCAAAACAGCATGTCAACATACAATCAATCAGCATAAAAATTGTTAGTGATATGTTTTACTTTCTTGCTGTCACATGCTAAGTGGGTGAGGTGCAGTCACAGCCCGTCTCAATGCAAACCAGGTACATATCAAGTGCCCAGGAGCGCATAGAAACAAGTTTAAGACAAGCCAGGAGGCAGTGAAGCCCTGGTGTCATCTGTGAATGATTCTTCTGCTGGGGTGAGTAAGTAGCTGGATAGTCACATTAATGAGGCTGCTGCCAAAGGTGAAACTTGGCCTGTTATTATATAATCTTAGGTGGCTTCTTGACTAAAAAGGTCCAGTAATAAGTAATTTTAACATTATTTTAGTTAAAATGTATCCAACAAATGATTGAGCCCTCATTATGATAGTGCCAGGTATTTGACCAGGCTTGAGAAAAACAGTGATGTGTGAAACAGGGGCTACAGGCAAGTTAGAAAACAAGGAGATAAATTCAGGGCCAAGAATGACACCTATGCCTGTTGGCCAACAGATGAGTCTGGTTGATACAGAGCTTCTTTGGATCTGATACAGATGTTGTGACGCTGCACTGTGTTCTGTCCTGGTCAAGGCCCTCCTCACTGTGGTCACATACTTATCTTGAGGTGATTTAAAAGTTTTAAGGCAATGCCCTTAGTTTGAAATAGTGTTGGGAATTAGTGTATGGGAAGCTGGAGGTGACTCTAGCAGGCACCCAGAGTTCTGCGAGGGGAAGGTGAGCACTGCTTCAGCCAGAAGGGTTTGCCATGCATCCTGGCTGTGGGGCCACTTCGAAAAAGATACCACAACCTTCTTTCTTAAGCATTCTCAACTGTTCCAAAGAAAGTCCAGTTCCCTACACTGCACATCCACCTGCAGAGACCCTGAGACTCTCCACATGGCATTGGCCCCACACTCCTTGAATGTAATCCTAAAAATAGGACAAAGGTGTAACTGAGTATCTGTGAGAGTCTTGTGTTTAAGTGTCTGGGCTCTGAGGCTCAGCCAAGCGGAAACATATTTAAAACAATGCTGGGGACTGGGGACAGAAGCAGGGCTTATGAGGAGAGGATACCACCAACCTAGCAGTTGGAGGCTCCTTGATCTGAGCTGTCCCACTGTACGCACCACACAAGGGCAGAAGGAGTACCAGGCTTGCCTGGCTTCTGTGCCCACTCCACACTTGCCTCTATGAAGCCCCTCAGACACTTCCACATGCTTTCTGCCATGCTGGCTTAGTTAGACAGGCCAGGCTGGGTGATGGGCATGGTGGGTAGCCTGGGCAGGTTCAGGGAGGGGAGAGGCTGCTTGGCCAGGGCCCTGTCACAGGGCCATCACTGCTGCTTACAACAACTGGGAGAGATTAGTGCAGCTGTGGATGTCAGTCCTCTGCCCTGGGATGGGCTCTGGAGGGTGGGCTGAGGAAAAAGGAATGTCTGAGCCGGGTGGGGCTT